ACATTCCACATCTCTCCACCACCACTACTCTTAATCCTCATGCACACACACACATTACCTCCAAAGACTATTAGCTCATGTCCTTATATAAGCAGCCCTAGCTAAGAGCTGAGATTGGCACTGTGAAATAGATAGAAATATTGGTTTGAAGTCCTGTTGCTTTGGCATTTTGCAGTACATCTTAAAATGTCAGTGGCGAATATATGTTCAAATATTGTTGTCTGCAAGTTGCCCAGGGCTCCAAAAATGAGATAGAATGGGTCAATATTTGACTAGTAACTGTGAAAGTGCCATAAAGCTTACCAGTTGGTTCTTGAGTCCCATTAGTTAAAGTCACCTGACTAGTTTTTCAGTTGTCAACTCTATCATTGTCCTTGCCTGAAGCCCACAAGGTGTGTCAACACAGATGGACCCAAGAATTCAATGAAGCACTCCCTCAGCTTGTCAATGAGAGGAACTCTCTGTGGCTCCCACATACATCCTCAGGTGGATGGGCACTCCAGGATTCCATACCCTCATTTGCTTATTCATCTTGATCTGATTTTGTTCTGTATACTTATGAATGACTTGGAAACTCAGCATGGCTGCCAGTGAAGTAAATCAAAGGGCTTCCTATGCCTGAATCCAACTTAGATCTTTTAAAGCAACAATTGAACCTCTTTGTCTTGCTCTGCTAGGATACCAAGGATACAGCACTATTTCCAACCAGTTCCCTAATTGAAATCCCTTCAGAATTGTTTTTTTTTAAGTAGTTAATAGGTTGGATAAATAAAATTACATAGTCTCAGCATCTTTAGGAAGTTATAACAAGTTGAAAATGGAGTTAGAAATGTTTTTTTAGCCCATATATTACAGCAAGTGATTAGCACTTTTGAAATTAGATTGTAGAAAAACTGACACATGAGGTTACTGAAATTCTTTATACACCTGAAGATATATAAATTTCTGCAATACACAGATGAAAGTCCACACATTCTTTGTTAGGACAGTCATTTTGGGCATGATACATTGGTATTTAAAACTCAACTTCAAATTTATTATGAATTTGTGCCACTGGTGACTTGAAGTAATGACTTTGTGATCAATCTCAATTGCATAGGTTAAAAAAAAAAAAGATTGTTTACATGATTTTTTGGATATTTGCTTAGGTATGGGAATTTAACCCAGGGATGCTTAACCACTGAGCCACATCCCTAGTTCTATCTATTTTATTTTGTGACAGGGTCTCTCTAGATTGCTGAAGCTGTCCTGGAACCCCTGGAATTAAAGGCATGTGTCACCACACACTGCTTGGTTTACAAGATTTTTCTTTTTAAAGAAATACATGTCCTCATAAGACAAATCCTTGATGAACAGGAAAAAAGTCTGATAGGTAGGCATAAACCATTTTCAAAATGCTTTTCCTGAAGATCAGATTATTTTGAGGTTATGGAAATCATATTATTCTTTTTCTTTCTTTCTTAAGATCATTTTTGGTGCATCATAACTGTACATAATATTGGCCTTCATTGTTACACATTGGTACATTCACATAAACTAATTTGGGTCAATTAGATTTCCCACTACCTTCCCTTACCCAACCTCTCAATGCCTCTGGAAATCACTTATTATGATTCCTGAGAAGGACAAGAAAAAAGGAAATAAATTGTTGGATGGCAGTTCTTCAATGCCAAGGATCGTTCAAGGTATCACCTACAGAGCATTGCTCCAAAATTGGGGGCAGAGAAGATGAAGCTACTTTGGTTAACTGTTGCAGAGTTTGATCAGCTCAATGGATTTTGGACTTGGTATATTTTGCCTGTCCTAAATAAAAGTTTTTCAAATGGACAAGCTTACCAGCAAAGCTGCTCCTGTCCCTTCTGTCCGGTCTAGTATTTCTTACTCTGAGCAAATCATCCTAATGTTCCTCCCCAGCAATTGAAGAAACAAGGATTTATGATAAACATGAAAGAAAACTCCACTTTTTATATCATTTGATACTCTCTTCATGTCCATAAATTGCTAAAGGTTTGCAATAAATTTTCTCAAATAATATTTCATCTGTGCTCATAAAAAGTATACACATTTTAATGTGAGACCAAATAAAATCCAGTGATAGACATTAATAGCATATCTCCAATAAATATTTAATAAAAAGGCTAGCAAATTCAGGGTCTTTAATGAAACTTTAATAAAATTTATGAGACAAGGAAACTGAAAGCACAATATTTCCTTAGGAATTCTTCTGTTTGGCTTTATCTTGTTTACAATATAGAAGGTTTTTATAAGAATGCGGGGCATATGAAATCTTCTAAGGCTCTCTTGGTGTTTTCTCCATTAAACCCCTTATCTTAAAAAAATCTTGAATCTATATAAATCTTTGTAATTTTCAGAGTACCTATATAACATTTTTCTCAAGAATGCAGTGAGGTTGCTCTTTCCAAGAACTCTTCAATTCTGAAATATAAGAAGTGTTTTTCCCAGCATTGAAACCCAAAGGCTCACAAAGGAATGAGAAGATCATATAAAAATCTCTCATGACAAATCTGAACTCTGCTTTTCCCAACCATATGAAGCCTATTGTAAGAAGATCCCAAGCAATTTGGCAAACCAAAGCAAAATATATGATTTGATAGGAGTAAGCCATGTGATGTTGCAGGAAGGCAGATTTTAATGCTGAATTTCTGATTGTATCCTCCCAAAAGTTATCCCATGAATATCATGCAGGAATGTAACCTCCAAAAAATAAATAAAAAAGAAAGAAATTTAGACTTAAGAAGGCTGCATAATATTTCATGTTCATGCATTTTTACCACACATCATACCTTCTTATTTCTTCCTTGCTCTGATGTGAAGCATGGACTTTCATTTTTCATTTTGGCTTAATATGTTATCACTTAATAATAATTCAGTAAATTTAAATAGAACTAGAAATTCACCTAATGACTCATGTCTTAGGGATGGTTTCAAAAAAAAGTAAGTGCACATTTTGAATCCTAGAATATTCCCAGAGTTTCTTAGAATTGTTGCAACTCATGCTGGAAGCTTTGAAATAAAGCAGAAGGCAAAGTTCTATGGTTTGTGACCCTTCCCCAAAGTATATAAAATTGATAGACATTGAATGCAAATAAACAACTATGCATCATTGAATTTTTTCCTGTCACTAAAGTGCTAATAGAGCTCAAGGAATTGTGAGTCCCTTGGTCTACAGTACAGGAAAAATAAGAAATTTCAAGACTTGAGTTACATAAAGTTTCTGATAATGTACCTTAGTACTTAGAAGGTTATCAACTTAAAAATGCAAAAAGAGAAATGTCATCATTTTCCATAGCATTTGGAAACTTTCCATAGGTTGGGAACTTTACTATCAGAGCTTATCAGTTCTCAGACATTTATATGTTTTGAATACTTAGCCAATCTGAGATTGGGATGCATCTTCCAGTTGTTGTCTCAGTGATTTTGTTCATGCCTAACAACTGATGGCATCTTAGTTTTGGTAAAATAATGTAAATGTTTACATGAAAGAAAGGAAAAGCTGATATGTGTAGCTACTGGGTGTTTTGTATTTCCCTTTGTTATCTTTGTAAATTAAGAGAAAAGATAAACCAAAAGTTTCTAGCTTAAGTTAGGTAAAATCAGAGAGGAGACAAATGTAGATTATATAGCTAATACTTCTCTGCCACCTGTAATTTCTAAAACCACTAAGAGCATTTTTATTAAAATTAATTTTAAAACATTTATATTAAATTATGTAGTTTATATTAAATAATTTGATCGATATTAAATGTTATTTAAATTGACTTTATTGAATTGTATTAGTTAAATAAAATTTAATGTATTTTTAATATGAATCATACTTTAATAAACAATATCAATTAATAAAACAAATTAAAATCAAACAATATTAATAAAATAAATTTAAATAATATTAATTAATAAAATAAATTTAAATTAGATTAATTTATATTAAATGATAATATCATTTATATTTAAAAATCTATTAAATTGTATTTAACTTAATTTTAATAATAATGTTCTGAATGGTTTTAGAAACGACAGGTGTCAGAGAATTATGTGCTATGCAATCTGTTTTTTTCTTCTCTGATTTCACCTACTTAAGCTAAAAACTTCTGATTCATCTTTTACCTTAATTTATCAAAAGGTTGTAACTACTCTTTGTTTGAAAGCTTTTCATCTTTCAAAAATTGATGTTAGCTTATTTCTCTCCCCAACTTTTTTTGATCAAGTGTTTTAAAAAATGTGTTGATAAGAATTATTGTAGAGCCCCCAAAAGCATGTACATAAACAGTCCAGGTATTTAATGATACATTCTTACTAATTAACTTTTCCATTGGCAATGGATCTTGTGATTCCACTTCGGGGTTGACTAATAAAAATACTCTTCCTTCTGGACATATTTAACATCTAAAAAACTGAATTAATGTGAAGTGACTTTCGTAGAGAAATGGAAATCAGCAAAATGGATAGGGGTCATAGAATTTGGATTCAAAGCATCTTAGAATTTATCCACTAAGCTTCCTGTTCAGGCCCTCCCCAATGAAATATTCTTCTGGTAGTTGTACAGCGTTTTCTTGGATAAAACTAAAGATTTCACAACTTTTTGCAACATCACAGTTGTATCTCATATACTCTAAATCTGAGATCTTCTTCATCTAGGTTGGATTTTTCTTCTTTCTTGTTATTTAAATATATCATTTTAATCTTAATGACATTAAATTTAACAAATATAATCATTTTTAAAAAAAAAAAGAGTTTGGAGCTAATTGTTTACTAATACTGCTCTGTACAGTTGTCACAAATGTACAACAGAATTGATGACTGGTGATGACTAACTGCTACATTGGAACAAAATTTTTAAGCACAAAGTGCTACAGCAAACAAAACAGATTTATTAAAAAGTACTATAGCAAAAAAACACAACAAGAACAACAACAAATTACCTATTAGCTATATACCTATATATACCAGCTTATTTTCTTTCTCTTTTTGTCTACAAATACAGAGTTCTTTTCCAAAAGGCCATGATGTAAAACATCAAAAAGTCTTATAGCTTCTTTAAAATGCTAAATATTTAGAAGATCCTGGAGTACAACTCTGGCACTAATGTCTGGGAACACTGGCAATGGTGTAAAGGTGGGCATGAAATCTGCGATGGGTTTAAAAAGAGGATGCCCAGGTCCATCAAGTCCAACTTCTTCTAGGTTACTAAGAGGCACAGCTGCAGAACGTGGATTCCTGTTGGTGCTTCTGCCAGCTCTGAATTCGGGTGCATCTTTAATATTTCCTGGTACATTTACACCTTGCTCTTTCCTTCCTGGTGAGTCTAGACAGTCCATGGAGAAATGGGAGAAAGCTTTGGTGGTGGGACAGAGGGATGAGATTCCATTTCCAGAAATTTGAGAAAGAGTTCTGAAAAAGAACTGTTAAGCACAGGTTGTTGAGGTTATTGATTTGGTCTCAAAGTTATGTTGGGGACACTTTTTGATGTCCCTCCTAGCCAACTACTCATCCACTTGGTAACACCACCATAATCTTCATTCAACAACTGCTCCATTTCCTCTTTTGGAATGTCCAGGATGCTCCCCATCAACTGTAACACTTCACGACGTTTGCCTTTTGGTATCTGGAAATGACCAATAAAAAGGTTTTGCATGAGGACTTTGTCCACTTTTCCTTCTGCGCTGTTGACCAAAGTCGACAATTTCTGTTGTGCATGGTCCAACATTTCTTTTCGGGGCTCCTTTTGTTTTTTCAGTTCTTCCATCTGTTCTTCCTTGAGATCTAAGTCTTCTCTCAGTCTGGAAGCAGAATCCAACAGAGCATTCACTTGATCCAAATGTTCCTGCAGTGATGATACTTCTCCTTCTAGCTTTTCGGCCTTGTTCTTCCATTCAGCTATTGACTGTTTTCCTTTGGCTAATTCAGCAGAATGCAGAGCTTTCTCTTCTTCTTGGAAGTGCTCTAGAACCCTTTTCAGGTTACTTGATGACAGGGCACACTGCCTGACTCGTTCTTGGGAGAGCGAAAGCTGCAGTGCATTCTCATCCCTCTGTTGAGAGACCAGACTCAACTGTCTGCACTGACTCTGTGTGCACACTGGCTTGGTGACTTGCCTTAGAAGATGCAACTAGCTTCTCCTCCAAGAGTGTGACTTTGTGTCTCAGTTGAATCTCTTTGTCTTCTACAGCCAAAATTTCCTGGGTGTAAGACTCTTCTGATTCCAAGAGATGGCTGCATAGCCTTTCTAGCTCCCGGTTAAAGAGTAATTCTTGGTCCTGTAAGCGTTGAACCTCCTCCTGGAGGGCACTGTTTTCCATCTGCTCTTGTTTTAGTGCTAGGATGACTTGGTTTCGTTCTTGCTGAAACGTAGCTGTCTTCTCCTGCATTGACTCAACTGTATTGGAAAGCTGGCTGAATTCCCCCGCTTCTCCCTCTTCTTTTGCTTCCAACAGCTGCTCAAAGGCAAGAGCTTTCTCTTTCATTGACTGACATTCCAATTCTTTTTCTCGCAGCATCTCTGATAACTTCAAGTTTGTCTCTTGCAATGATTGATACTCCCTTTCCTTTTCTTTGCATGTTTCTCTTATGTTTTCATTTTCTTTTTGAGTGTACAAGTGTCCACTTCTAAAATCAGTATTCTCTCCTTCAGCTCTCTTACTGCTTGCTTCAACAACTCCTTTACTTTCCACAGGTCATGTTTTTCACTGCCACTTTCTACATTAAGGCTTTCAACTTTGGTCTCTGGAAAAATATCAGATTTCTCTGTTGAAGCATCGCATCTTTTTCCAGGCAACTGGGCTTTTATTTGGTCAATAGTTTTCTGCAAGTTCTTAATCTCCTCCTCTTTTTCTAAAATTAACTGGCTATGTGCAGCATTCATCTGCTCATATTGGTATTTAAATTCATCCATTTCTTTTTTCTGCTCCTGTAAAGATTGAAGTAGTCGCATTTTACGCTTGTTTTTATTTGTAATTATCTTTTGATAGTGTTTAATTTCATCTTCCAGATGATTTTTTTTTACTATATTCACTTGACATACCTCCAATTCTAGTTCTGTGATAGCAACAAGGGTTTTAGGCTCAGCCACAGGTACAGCTTGATTGTGCTGTTCCCTGAGTCTTTCCAGTTCTTCTTGCAGATGGTTGTTTTCTGCTTTCATGGAGCCAAGACTTCTGTCCTTTCCTTCAATGGTTTGCCTTAAAGTTTAATTTTCTCCTAAGGCCTGAGAACACTTATCTAAATCCTTTTGGAGTTCTGAACTTTTTTCTTTGAGTTTTTCAATAAAAACTTGTTTCTCATTTATAACTTGTAGCAATTGCTTCTGTTCTTCTATATGAGATGCCAAAATTTCCTCAGTTTCTTTTTGAACAGCAGTCATTTGCTCAATATTCTTTTTGAGTCCTGCTATTTAAAAGTCCTTCTTTTGATTGAGTTGCACTACACATTCATGTTTCAGCTTTAAGGCAGAGGTATTCAAATTATGTGCATTGGAGAGTTCCTGAATAGTCTGCTTGTGATTATTTGCTTCTTCCAACAGTCTTTTTTCTGCCTGGTGCAGTTTGGCTTCTATCTCTTCTTTGTATCTTTTTAGGGTCTCTGTGATAGTGTCTTTTTCTTGAGAGATTTGATTGTTAGCAGCAACAGATTCTTCCAACTTATGCCTTACATCTTCACGTGCTAAAATCAACATTTCATTTTCCATTTTGAGATCAACAGCAACTTTCTTTAAATTTTCATTGAGCTGTTCTACTTCAGAAAAATTTTGCCTTAAATTGCTAACTTCAGCTTCCCATTCTTTAAACAAGTCATCCTTACAATGACTGTTAGAGTCTTCATTCAAAGAACTTCGGATCTTACTCTTAAATCCAGACAGCTCATCTTCAATTTGTCTAATGTGTTCATTAAGCCCAAGGTTTTCCTGCTGGATGTTTAAACTATTTTTTTGTGACTGATTTAGCTGACCTACTAAAGCTTCTACTTTACCTTCAAGCTTCTGCTTAGTTAAATGCAAATCCCTGAGGCTCTGTGCATTCTCAGTTAACTTCTCCTTCTGCACATGCAACTCTTGGGATATATTCATTTGCTCATCCTCAAGTTGATGAACTCTCTTTTTTTCATCATCTAGATCTTGTTCCAACTTCTTGATGACAAGGTCTCCTTCATTTTGTTGTTTGGATAGCTCGTCTTGTATCAAAATCATGTTCTTTGTTGTTTCCTGATTCTGATGATCCAGTTCTGCTAACTCAGCTATCAGCATTTTCTTTTCATTGATAGTCTGATTCAGTTCTTCCTCCTTTGCCTTCAAGTGAAGTTTTAAGTCTTGTAATTGTACATCCAAATTCATGTCTGTTGAAGCTCTGTTTTTCATGACTTGATAGTCACAGCTCAATTTTGACAGTGACATCTGAAGTTCCTCTTTTTCTTGACTCAATGATGACTTCTCTTTTTCTAAAGCTTCAACACGCATTTTAAGCTTCAGATTGTCTTCAGCAAGACGGTTATCCTTGTTTAAACCATTTAGTCTCATGATTTCCTTCTCTGCATTAGCCAGGGCTTGTTGTAGCCTGAACACTTCTTCCACTGCTGAACTCTGTGAAAGGATTTTTTTCCTTTTCTGCCACAGTAGAACTCTGCTCCAAAACTGACATTTTATGCTGGTGATCATCTATGTCTGGACTTTGGTTTGGTTGAAGAATCTTGATAGTATTTTGTACTTTGCAGGTTTCACTTGTGTCAGAATGATTTGTTCCCTGAGCCTCCAACAATCTGCTTTGAGTGGCCAACTTCAGATTCATGCCTTGCAACTTCAATTGACAATCTGTTTGATTCTTGTTGTGATAAAATTATGTCACTAAAGTCCATGTCATCATCAGGAAAGGCTGAAAAATGACTACTGGTCCAGGAACCGAATGGAGCAGGTGCAGTTGTTGTTGGTACACCACAAGCTCCTGAAGGTACTGATTGAGCAGCTGCCTGTAGTTGGAACACTTGATCTTGCAGTACAATCTGTCTTGCTTTAAGATGGCTGATCTCTACCTCTTTCTGTTGCAGTTGATCTTGGTAACTTACAGACTGATGCTTTATTTGCAGCTCTGATGCTTCATGCTTTTCTTCCAGAACAGTACAATACTTTTTCAGTCTTTCATTTTCACATCTTAGTGTGAAATCAGTAGCTTCGATTTTCTTTCTCCAACAATGAGGAAAAGCTGCTTCTAGGTCTCCTAAGTCATCCAGAAGCATTTCCCTGGTGAAGCTGGAGATAATGCCAGTGAGGGAAGCCAAGCTGCTCCCCAACTGACCCAAGAAGTGGCCTAAGCCTGAGCCCAGGCCTCCAAACCAAGACCACATAACTGCCACTTCAGTGATCCATTGGACCAGCTCAGAAAACCGCATCCATCACCATCCACTTCTCTGC